TCTGCTCCTATGATGCTGCTTGGCCTGCTGTGTTCATCCAGCCCTGCACCTTGTTGTCTCTTATCCTGTAGAGGGACCTGGTTAAGTCAGACACCAGACTAGTACAAGTGCCCAGTCGAAAATCTCACCAAAACCATGGGTGTATTTGTTAGCACTGTGATCAACATAGGCAGTTTCCCAGCACTAACTGCAAAGTTCAGCCCATATACTTGATGCAGCATGAGACCCGTGCCTGTTAATCTCCTGGGTAGACCATGCGAAATAGGAACAGGAGTAGGCTGTTCGACCCTTCAGTCTTGCTGCACTATTCAATAGGATCATAGTTGAGCTGACACACCTCATGTCCATTTTCCTGCCCTTCCCTCATAACCCTTGATTCCCTGACTGATCAAGAATCTATTTATCTCAACCTTAAATATACACAAGGACTCTGCCCTCGCAGGTTTCTGTGGCGAAGAGTTCCAAAGCCTTACAACCTTCTGACAGAAGAGATTCCTTCTCATCTCAGTCTTAAATTGCTGCCCCTTTACCCTGAGACTATGCCCTCTGGTCCAAAGCTCACCCACTTGGGGAGACATCCTCTCAGCATTTACTCTGTCAAACCCCTTAAGAATCCAATATGTTTCAATGAGATCGCCTCTCATTCTGCTAAATTCCATTAAGCAGAGTCCTAACCTGTTTAACCTTTGCTCTTAACATAACCCCTTCATACTGGGGATCATCCGAGTGAACCTTCTCTGAACTCCCTCCAATAAAATAATATCTTATTATATATAAGGGAACGAAAGCTGCTCACAGAGATCCAGATGTGGTCTCACCAACACATTGTAAGAATTCCCTACTCTTATACTCCAACCCCCTTGCTTTCCTAATTACCTGCTGCACCTGTGTGCTGGCTTTCTGTGTTCCATGCACAAGTTCCCCCAAGTCCCTGTCTGTTGCAGCTTTCTGTGGCTTTTCATCATCTAAATAATCTCAACTTTAGTTGTCCCTTCCCAAATAAACAACTTCACATTTTTAGGTGAACATCTTTCTGAAAGTAAAGGTAATTGAGAGAACTCTTCAAGATATTAACTGACCATTACAACCCACATCCAATTCTAGCTTTCTTTATAACATTATGGGTAGATTTTAATTTCCACTGCCTGCACAGAAATCGGAGAAGAACGTGGCTTACTCATTGATTTGAAACGACTGAACGTCAGGTGTGAGACAAAGATAGACAATTGATTTCCGCCCAATTATTGCTCAGATGCTGAAGACAATACTCTATAGGACCATAAGACGTAGAGGCAAAAGTAGGCCTTTCAGCCCATTGAGTCTGGTCCACCATTCAATGAGATCATGGCTGATTTGATAATCCTCAACTCCACCTTCCTGCTTTATCCCCATCGAAAAAAACTCCACAAAGGCCGATATCCCGTCACCAAATTTCCTTTATTTCCACGTGTATAGCACATGACAGTGACCTGGCTAGCTCACAGCTGGCTTCGAGATTGAGCAGAACCCCTCATACTCCAGTTTATATCTATCAGCCAGGACTCCCTGATTGGATCAGGTTAACAGCCCAAACAGGGAACTCATATTCTAGTGAGATCCACCTGGCTTACCTTGTTTCAATCACTACACCCATTACCCTTGATTCCCTTACTGATTAAAACTCTGTTTATCTTAACCTTGATTTACCCATGTTTCACTGGTTTATTCATATTTTAGAAGATCAGTCCAAGCCTTAGCTCTCAGGCTTAGATTCAGAAGTTCTCACTCACAACTAGGATAATTCTTCTTTGAAAGGTGTTACTTCTAGCTAATTCTGAAAATGTCTCATCCAATTTGCTTGGCGACTATATTGTGAATATTTTCCAAAAAGAACATTTTCATTTTGGATTCTTGCTTCTACTGCACAGGATACAATCCCTAACATGAAAACTAATGTGGTCAGATTTTCTCTTAGCTTTCTGCCCATCTTTGACGATTTGCGCTTTATCCTCATTACTTTTCACAAAAACAAACAAACAGGCCTCCATTCTGCCCCTTCCCCACAATACTGTCGCATCTTCACTAAATATAAGATTACTATCAAAGTAGGATTTGAACCTGCAATCTCTAAAGATAATCTTACCTTTAATTGCCCAGGTTTAAAAAAACAAGTGATTGCAAATAGGAGGCATGTTTTGCAACACACCTGATTTTTCTTTCCAACATAGGGCCATTTCGCTATTGCATATTTTGTACCCAGGGTCCCCCTTCCCAACTGATGAACAAATAATGCAAGTTGCTTTCCTGGATCATCATGGGAAAAAAAATCTCACTTGTGTCAAACACTTTCAATTTCATTGGTGTCCCTCATCTGACACTTTCCTGTTAGACCTGTTTTGAATGGTCTCTTGGGCTTTGGCTGTGATATATTCATAGAATCCCTACAGTGTGAAAACAGGCCCTTCAGCCCAACATGTCCACATTGAGTCTCGGAGCATCCCACCCAGACTCATACCCCTGTAATCCACCTCATCTACACATCACCGAACACTATGGGCAATTTAGCATGGCCAATCCACCTAACCTGCACGTCTTTGGATTGTGGGAGGAAACCAGAGGACCGGGAGGAAATCCACGCAGACATGGGGAGAATGTGCAAACTCCACACAGATAGTTGCCCGAGGCTGGAATTGAAACCGGGTCCCTGGTGCTGTGAGGCTAACCACTGAGCCACCGTGCCGCCAAATATAACCACTTCCAATATCATCAAGGCACAAATCACTTCCAATAGGAAGAATACATCTTTGTAAAATAATATGTTAAAATTTCTGAAGAAAGTAAGTTTAACCCAAGTGAAGCAAGAATTTTGCACTCAAAGCATTAACTCTGCTTCTTTCTCCACGGATGCTCCCAGATCATTTGGGTTTCTTGAGCATTTTCTATTTTTTACTTCAGATTTCCAGCATCCACTGTACTTATTTTTATTTGAAGCAAACCATTATTTTGTTTAGACTGCATAGAGTCTTGTTTTTGATAGTTTCTGTAATTAGCTTGAGGGGAATTGGAGAAACTATTTTCTATTGTTGTCCCATTCCTGAATTATATATTCTTGCCTAATTGACCTGCTTAATGATGTTATTACATACCTATTGGCGCAAGTAGGATTTAAACCTGGGCCTCCTGGTCCAGAGGTAGAGATGCTATCAGTGCACTACAAGAACCCCCTCTCCCAAGTCATGTATTATATATTTCAATGCTGCACAGTCAATGACTTTCACATAATAACTTCATAATTACAGGTCTTTCAAAAGAATAGATTAGTTTTTACCATTACCTTTGATTGGATCTGACACCAAATTCAGGATTTTTCCAGGTTGTGGATTAATATTGAAGCAAATATCCTGTTTGCTCTTGGGCAGGTGAATGATGAAATGTGGATCATTTTCAACTGAATAGCAAGAATAAATTATTGATTATCATTAGCAACTGGTTTTCAACAGCATATAGTCAGCATTCTACTTTGTGGATTCAGTGAAAATATACAAAATACATTGGCTCAACAATATCTGTCCCAACGCTATAATTTACGCAACAGCAATAATACTAAGGGTCCAGTCTTTCAGTTTGTGTTGAGGGCACCTTGTTGAGAAAACAAGAAAACTAGAGAAGAAATCTGTGTGAAGGAGCCAGTCATTCTGAGCATTGTAGATAAGCCCAGCGCAAATCGTAGAAAGAGCGTGTGAAAACGCTAGCATCCCACCCACCCACCTCCTCAAATACCCGCCCTAAGGCAGGGTTTGCAGATCCAGCATCAGTCTGTTTCCTCACTCAGAATTTGAGTGCGACATTCAAAGTGACACTTCGCAAGTGATGCAGTGTCAGCGATGCTAACTCTTGGATATAAACTGAGGCTCTTGTGGGTGGATATATAAAGGCACTATTTCAGAAACAAACCAGGAGAATTATAATCAATTTCCAAGCCAATATTTATCCCTGAATCAACAACACAAAAAGCAAATTGGTTATTTTCATGTTACAGCTTGTGTGAGCTTGCTGTGTGCAAATTTACTCCTACATTATAAGACAGATTACACTCCAAAAAGTATTTCATTGATGTTAAAGTGCTTTGGTGCAATTGTGAAAGGTGCCATATAAATGTATGCTGTTCTTTTGTTTTACAGGTGATTCTTAAAAATTGCATAAAGCAGGCATCAACATGAACTTTTGTTATTATTCTATATCCCTTGACCATTACATCATTATAATATATTGAAGTATAAATAAAGCTCTTTACAATTAGCCCAGATGGTAAGAAAGTGAACTGTTAGAGAACTGAACTTCAATGCAGGTAACATGTAATGGATCATTACCCAATGTGACAGGAATTTTTAATCCTAGTTCTGAATCCCCTTTGGGACGAATCAGTTGCTGAGGAGGTTGAGGTGTAGAATAACTGTTCTTTGCCCAAGTTGGAATAGCAGGTGTCTTCTTTCCAATAATAGGGGTGCCTGCAGTATACAGTGAACCAAATCAGAGTGTTTTCTTCCATTTACACAAATATTCTACTTTTATTACAGAAGGAGATTGTTAAACAATTCCATAAGACATAGGAGCAGAAAAAGACAATTTGGCCATTGAGTCTCCTCTGCCATAAATGAGATCCTGGCAGTTTTGATAATCCTCAAGTCTATTTGCCTGCTTTATTCCCATAACCCTTGATTTCCTTACCAATTAAAAATCTGCTAATCTCAGTCTTAAATATATTTAACAGTGCAGCTCAATAGCCCTGTACAGTAAAGACTTCCAGAGATTCATCACCTTCTGAGAAAATAAAAAGTCCCCCTCATCTTTATCCTAACTGGTGGCCCCTTCTTCTGAGATTAAGCCCTCTGGTCCTAGGCTCCATCACAACGGGAAACAACCTTTCCACGTCTATCTTATCAAGTCTCCAAAGAATCTTGTATGTTTCAACAAGCTCGCTTCTAACTCCAAACAGTGCATGCTTAAACTACCCAATCTCTCATTATAAGAAAATCCCTCCAAACCTGGGATCAGCCTGGTGAATCTTCTCTTGACTGCCCGCAATGCCAAGATATCTTTCCTATAGACTCACACACTCTATGATAACAAATGAATCAACCATTCCTATGAATAATTGAGTTGGCATTGATGGTACTTTAGTGCCTTGAAAACTAATTTCTGCTGTTTAAAGAGACCGATATCGCATACGAATGACATTTTACAATTGTTAACCAAACAATGCCAAAACCGTATACTTGTAGTTGCTAGATTATTGTTGTTATGGCACCTTTTCAAATGTAACAGATTCTCGACTGGATCACTTTATTGATGAAATTTCATTATAAAAATGTTATTGTTTGGTTTTTGAAATCATAATGGATGGAAATAAAATATTATTTATCTTGAATGGGCATCTCATTCAATATCATATGTGGCATGGAAGAATTTTCAATCTTAACTGAATATTGTGACATACAGTGAGAGGAATATTATATTCTTGTGATACTTCTACCTGTTTAGCGATATAATGGTATGTTGGTAGGCACACAGTAACATTCATAAATATTGTCTAATCATCCTGTTCAGAGATATTATGACACACTCTGGACCAAGACTCTGGTCTTGAACTCAGACCTCCTGACTCAGAGGTAGGGATATTAACACTGCACCGCAAGAACCCTGAACAGAGTAACATTTATTCAGCATATGCAATATACAATCATACAGCACAGAAACAAGCCTTTTGAGCCAACTTGTCCAAGCTGACCAGGTTTCCTAACTGAGCTAGTCCCAATTTCCTGCATTTGGCCCATATCACTCTAAACTTTCCTATCCATGTATCTGTCCAAATGTCTTTTAAATGTTGTAACTGTACCCACCTCTACCACTTCCTCTGGCAGCTCGTTCCATTTATGCACCATCCTCTGTGTGAAAATGTTGCCCCTCAGGTCCATTTAAAATCTTTCCTCTCTCACCATAAACCTATGTCCTCTAGGTTTGGGCTCCTCTAGTCTGGGAAAAAGACCTTGGTTATTCACCTTATCTATGCCTCTCATGATTTTATAAACCTCTATTAGGTCACCCTTCAGCATCCTCTGATCCATGAAAACCAAGTCACAGCCTATTCAGCCTCTCTATATAACTCAAACTTTCCAGTCTCAGTAACATCCTTGTAAATCTTTTTTGCACCCTTTCCTGTTAGTAACATCTTTCCTATAGCAGGGCAACCAGAATTGTATGCAGTACTCAAAATGTGGCCTTACCAATGTCTTGTACAGCTGTAACATGACATTCCCAACTCCTATACTCAATGCTCTGACCGATGAAGACAAGCATGCCAAATGCCTTCTTCACCATCCTGTCCTCCTGTGATGCTACTTTTAAAGAAATATGTATCTGTACCCCTAGGTCTTGTCCCCAGGGCCCTACCATTAACTGTGTGAGTCCTGTCCTGGCTTATCTTACCAAAATGGAACACTTTGTATTCATCTGAATGAAAATCCATCTGCCATTCCTCGGCCCACTGGCCCAGTTGATCAAGATCCCATTGTACTCTTAGATAACATTCTTCACTGTCCACTTTCCCACCGGTTTTGGTGTCATCCGCAAACTTACTAATCATACCTCCTATATTCTCATCCAACTCTTTTACATGAATAATAAACAACAGTGGACCCAGCACCGATCCTTGCAGCACACCGTTGGTCACTGGCCTCCAATTTAAACAACAACCCTTTACTATGACCCTTTGTTTCCTATTGTCATTTATATGTATACATTTATGAAACAGGATAGAATTGCACAAGTTTTAAAATGCAATATTAGTTTTTATTATAATAAAAGTAATTCTAAATGTAAATAAAAGATCACTTTGAATTATAATAAGTTCAAGTTGTTTCCAGCGTAAAGCCGATGTCATAATTCATTTAATTATCAAAATTAATAAACTCCAGTTAGTACAGCTCATTACCATATTATTTAGGATGATGTTTTGGTTAATGCCAAGGTCAATCAGGGTTAAAAATGTAAAGTTTTCAATATGACTTATCAATCACCTATAATTTCCTATTCTTACATAAAACAATGAATACCTTTTTACCTTATTAATTATCTGCACAAGTTGTAGTAATTCTTTGCTCATCTCTTGCAGTGCAGATGTAATTTTACTCTGACTTTTAATAAGAAAATTAACATTGTGCTTGTGACCATTCATTTCTGTTGATGTCAGGGAAGATAGTTGGCATTGACGGACGCCCAACTTGCAGCTAGGTCACTCAGCATTCTGCTGCATCCTCATTATGGCTCCATTTGAGTCTAGTAACCAATGACTTTTGTCCAGTGCTGGAGCCAGTACACAACCCTGTGAGAAATGGCAAACACTCTCAATGCTGTACATTTACTAACCTGTACAACATCCATTTCTGGTGCTCTTGGGAGAATCTGCTAACAGTCTGTGGCCAGTTTCTTCACTTTCTACCATCATGGCAGTCACAGGTGTTACAAGCTGGTGAACCAGGGCAATAGCTAAAATCCTGCTTGTAATATTCCTCTTCTGCAAAGCTGATTGAGCAAGCACCCTGTTGTGAAATGGAAATTGAGAGAATTTGTGAGTAAACCACAGTGTCTGACTAAAAGAACAATCAAAATAATATTGATGAATAATATCATTGTGGTTGATGGATATTTTTTTGTATCAGTTATCAAATGCACTATTCTAATGGGATACTGCAGTCAGAAATCTTTAATGACTGGAAGTTATGAAATGTGATATTATCAAACAAACACTGTGTTTTAACAAATTCCTTATATCCTTTATTGGACGGGTATGTCATCTATTTTAAACAGTTTAATGTCCTAGCTAAAACAATAAATTGAGGAATTAAGCTCTGATATTACTGACCTCTCAGATAATAACTGCCTAATCATCAAGTAGGCCCATAGCTGCTTTGCGAATTCTGGAAGAACATATTTCTGCTTAGCCAAAATCTTGTCAAGTTCATCTGTTGGCGTGTCTATCTGAAACATTAGGTCATCTTTTGCCTGAAAGAGAACAGAATCAGTAATTGTCATTGATACATTAATCTCATCAACAATCCAGAATTGTCTCAGACCGAACACTGGCATACTTCTAGTGGTAATGTTTGGTCACGTCCCCAGAATTAAACCTTTTTCAGAGATTTCTCCATTTATATTTTTATGCCATTGTAACCTCAAGCTATCTTTCTTCAATTTGCTGCTCTGTGCACAAATTAATTCATCTATTTCAGTCCCAAATTAAAACTAAAATTTAGGCTGGTGGGCCGAGGAGTGGCAGACAAAGTTTAATTTAGATAAATGTGAGGTGCTGCATGTTGGAATGATAAATCAGGACAGATCTTATACACTCAATGGTAAGGTCTTGGGGTGTGTTGTTGAATAAATAGACCTTGGAGTACAAGTTCAAATTTCCTTGAAAGTAGAGTACACAGGATAGTGAAGAAGGTGCTTAGTACGTTTGCCCTTATTGGTCTGTGCATTGAGTATTGGAGTTGGGAGGTGATGTTGCAGCTGTACAGGACATTGATTAGGCCACTTTTGGAATACTGCATTCAATTCTGGTCTCCCTGCAAAAGGAAGGATGTTGTTAAACTTGAGAGGGTTCAGAAAAGATTTACAAGAATGTTGCCAGAACTGGAGTGTTTAAGTTATAGGGAGAGGCTGAATAGTCTGGGGCTTTTTTTCAATGGAGCAAAGGAGGCTGCGGGGGTGACCTTATAGAAGTTTATAAAATCATGAGGTGCATGAATAGTGTGAATAGCTAAGGTCTTTTCCCTAGGGTAGGTGAGTCCAAAACTAGAGGGCATTGGTTTAAGGTGTGAGGAGAAATATTTATTAATGTTATCTGAGGTGTAACATTTTCACGCAGTGGGTGGTGTGTGAATGGAATGAGCTGCCAGAGGAAGTGGTTGAGTTATGTACAACTACAACATTTAAAAGGCAAGTGGGTGGGTTTATGAATAGGAAGGGTTTAGAGGGATATGGTCTATCTAAATTTACATATTGCATTTACAAAATTAGATCGTCAAAATATCACTTTGAAAGGTCAATGAGGAAGATTTATGATATATTATTATTTGGGAACTTGGGTTGTAAGGTAGACATAGTATGTTTTTGGTTTTCAGTTCTGTGGAAGTGACATTTTTTTTAAGGGTCAGAAACTCACTTTTTAGCAGTGGGTCAAAACAACATTTCAAAGAAATTATATGATTTAAGTTCAATGACTAGACAAGCTACTTAGTGAGATAATTGCTAAAGTATTCAATAATTGAAGATTTATGACCTAGTGAGAGACAAATGGAGAGGAGTCAGGAACAGGTCCAGTTTCGAAGAAAGGAGCCATATTTGCAGAAGGGCAGTTTCATTTTGGTGGTATCGAGGCCTATAGGGAGATGACAGCCGAGTGGTATTAATCCAGAGACCCAGATGATGTCTTGGGAGTCTGGGTTCAAATCCCACCATGGCAGATGGTGGAATTTGTGTAAATTAAAAAAAAATCTGGGATTAAGAGTCTAATGAAACCATTGTTGGAAAAAAACATATGGTTCACTAATATTTTTTAGGGAATAAACTCTGCCTTCCTTACCTGGTCTGGCTTACATGTGATTCCAGTCCCAGAGCAATGTTGTTGAATGTTAGGTGCCCTCTGGGCAATTAGGAATGGGCAATAAATACTGGCCTGCTAGTGGCGTCCACATCCCGTGAATGACTACAAAATCAAAGGCCATCAGAACTAGAAAGAAGTTTTAAGCTGTTTTAAGGGTCCAAGTCGACAGAATTCTAAAAAGTACTGAGGTTTTCTTAGAGTTCAGTGAGGAAAAGTCTTGGGAAGAGACAATAATGTACAGAATCACATCTAGTGAAAGTATAAAATTTTACTAAAAGAAAATGTGATTGTAAAGAAAGGGCTGAACTTTTCTTTTTGCTGTTTATAGTAAAATGTTTTCAAATCATCTTGTATATAAATATATATAGATTTTTTTGTCCTTTTCAGCATGAACTAATCTTATTTTATACGTTATTATCATGCAGCATCTTGTGAATATGTTCAATAATTGACCATTACTGTAACCAAATTGCAAAAAGTAAAATTTATTATCTTTCAAGCCTGATTTTATTCTGGGATCTGAGTTGTCCAGTATTACCATCAGCTGGAATCGTAACACCTACCCTATAAGAATTATTTTCACTTTATTTCCTCTTATTTGATATTAATAATTCAATTTACAAATTTATTATGGATAATATAAATATCCATTCTCTCTTAAGTTTTTGTTGAAATCTAATTTAGTAGTTAAAACACAGATTCTTTTTATCCCTGGTTGGTCATGTTGAAACCAATTTACCACTGGAAACTTCAGGCAATAATCTATATGATTAAGCAACTAAAAACATTAAGACATTTCTCGCTGGCCCTGCAGATTAACCTTAATTGTCTTACTTACAGGTAGTATATATTTTATGCTGCTTGTATAAATTTATGGTTTCTCACCATTTCCTGATTCCTTTTACGAGGATATTGGTGTCTCTCAAATGTGCTGACCCTCACTTTTGGATTCAAACACCACACAAAGGTATAGGTTGGCATTTCAAAGCACTACCTTGGAAGTACTTTATTACCAGAGATGCTGCTTTTGGACGAGATGCTGAACGAAGCTCCCATCTCTGTGTTCAACTGCATATTGCGAATATGACTGTGCGATTTGAAGAAGAGCAAAAAAATCTTCTGTTGGTGACTGAGATAGTAAGAACTGCCGATGCTGGAGTCTGAAATAACACGGTGTGGAGCTGGAGGAACACAGCAGGCCAGGCAGCATCAAAAGAGCAGGAAAGCTGACGTTTCGGGTTGGGTCTAGACCTTGTTAAGAATTAGCTGTAGGGGCTAATTGTTAGCATATGCGAATTGTGCAGGAGTTTTAACAACATATAACCTGCTGAGAATATTTATCTAAAGTGAAACACAATTGCTGCTAGAAATTAGGTCATGAAATTTGGAGCAAATGAATGGCAAGTAATTGTTGTAACCAAAAGAAGTGCTTTTTTTGATGCTCAGAAAGTTGTGCTAATCAAGGCATTACTTAATACACTTACTGAGGATGCTGTCACCAAGCATTGGAAAGATGAAGGTTTCGTGTCAACCAGTTTTCCTGCTACAATTATCTCAGAACCACTGAAATACTTGTCGAAACTATTTTGTGTCACGTCTGTCACATCATCACCGTAGTGTATGTCAATCTTTCTCAGCAATGGAGTGGCCACTTCTTCATAGAAATCCTGTCAATCACAATTAGAATCACAGTTTGTTAATGCGTTTCCAAACTGGACTTGAATTTTTCAACATATAAATACAATAATATCATATGTTGTGAATTCAGCCCCCTTGGTCAGGGCTGTAGTGGGGAGGGTAATCAAGAACTAGTGATCAGTAAGCTTTGCATGGTTGGGAAGGAGAGATCACATCCAGAGTGAGACACAGCCGGAATGAATAGATATATATGGGGAACTTAGTGACAATGTGGGAACTCAGGGCAGAGGGGAAAAGGTGCTTTCCGCTTGTTTTTTCTGGCTCATAGTTTGTAACTTTCTTTTTAACAGGATAAATTGAAGCCTAAGAGACAGTAAGGACTGCAGATGCTGGAAGCCAGACTCAATAAATGTGAAGCTGCACAAACAGCATCAGGTCAGACAGCATCAGAGGAGCAGAAAGTCAACGTTTTGGGCTGAAACCCTTCCTCAGGACTGGGGAGGGTGAGCGGAGACCAGAAATAAATAGAATGTAGGGTTTGGGGCCTGGGAAAGGTAGGTGGGATGGCGATAGGTGGATGCAGGTAAGGCATTATAGTGATTATTCAGTGGAAAGGGTGGAACAGATGAGTGAGTAGGAAGATGGACAGATTAGGACAGGTCGGGGGCATGACATGAGATAAGGGTGGGGGTGGAGGGATTTTGAAGCTGGTGAAGTCAATATTCAGGCCTTTGGGCTGTAAGATCCCAAAGCAAAATATCAGGTATTACTTCTCCAATTTACGTTTGGCCTTACTCTGACAGTGGAGGAATCCAAGGATGGACATGTCATCACGGGAGTGGGAAGGGGAATTAAAATGGATGACAACTGGAAGTCAGGTTGATCGATGTGTGCAGAGCGCAGATGCTATGCGAACGGGACCCCTAGCCTACATTTAGTCTCCCTGGAATAATGAGACCACATCAGGAGCCACTGATGCAATAAATCAGGTTGGGTGAAGTGCAGGTTAATTTCTGCCAGATCTGGAAGGATTGTTCACGGCTTTGGGCGGAGTTGAGAGGGGAGGCTGGGGGCAGGTATTGCACCTCTTGTGGTTGCAGGGAAAGGTACGGGGTGTGGTGGAGAGCATGGTGGGGAGTGTAGAGCTGATGAGGGAATCACGGAGTGAACGGTCCTGCAAAAAGCTGACAGGATTTTTTATTCTTTATTCATTCACAGGATGAGGGTGTCGCTGACTAGGCAGCAATTTTTGCCCATCCCTAATTGCCCAGAGGGCAGTTAAGAGTCAGCCACATTGCTGTGGGTCTGGAGTCACATGTAGGGCAGACCAGGTAAGGATGGCAGTTTCTTTCCCTAAAAGTTCATTAATGAACCAGATGGGTTTTCCGACAATTGACAATGGATTCACGGTCATCATTAGATTCTTAATTCCAGATATTCATTGAATTCAAATTCCACCATCTGCCGTTGAGAGATTGGAACTGGGTCCCCAGAATATTACCTGGGTCTCTGGATTAACAGTCCAGCAATAATACCACTCGGCCATCACCTACCCTGTGGGGAAGGTGGTGAAGGAAATAAATTTCTGGTGGTGGGGTCTGATTGTAGGTGGCGGAAATGTTGGAGGTCGGTGGGGTGGTATGTATCACCTGGTTCATGGACCATCTGCAATCTGCATGGACCAACCAGCCCGACTGTTCCATTCCCATTCATTTTAATTGCCCCTCCCAATCCCCTGGCGACATGTCCATCCTTGGCCTTCTCCACTGTCAGAGTGAGGCAAACTGGAGGAACAACACCTGATATTTCGCCTTGGGAACTTACAGCCTAAGGGCCTGAATATTGACTTCACCATTCCTCCACCCCCAGCCTTGTCCCATGTCCAGCCCTCCCATTCCTCCTTGCATCACCTCCCTGACTTGTCCTAACCTGTCCATCTTCCTACTCACCTCTCCGTTACCTGCCCCCCCAACTGACCAATCACTGTAACTGCTTACCTGCATCCACCTCTCACCATCCCACCTCCTTTTCCAGTCCCACACCCCCTCGCCCATTTACTTCTGTGGTCCCCTCACCCTCCCCATTCCTGATGAAGGGTTTTAGCCTGAAGCATTAACTTTCCTCACCCTGGGATGCTCTCTGACCTGCTGTGCTTTTCCAGCCCCATATTTATTGAAATTGAAGCCCAGGATCAGTTGCTCAGCTCAAAACAGTGACATACTGGCGTTCTGTAACTTCATTGGTTGGTGATTGCTACTGATTTGACCATCTATTATAAGTTACTCTCAGATTGAAGGTAAACAGGGGAAATATTTACATGCTACAAACTAAAAGACCAGTACAAAATTTTAAAATTCAAATTAATAACAAAGTAATTGGTATCGAGAAGCTCGGACAGGGGATGTGTTGTAACTCCATGATGTGGGAGCTCATGGACTCCAATGTAGTTCATAGTGACTACATCTGTAGCAAGTGTTGGTTACTTGAGGGACTCCAACTCAGAGTTGATGAACTGGAGTCTGAGCTTCAAACAACATAGCACATCAGGAATAGGGGGAGTTACTTGCTTAGCCGAACTCGTCCTCACCCTCAACAACTTTTCTTTCAGTTCCTCCCACTTCCTACAGACAAAGGGGGTGGCCATGGGTACCCGCATGGGCCCAAGCTATGCCTGCCTCTTTGTAGGTTACGTGGAACAATCCCTCTTCCATACTTACACTGGCCCTAAACCCCACCTCCTCCTCCGTTACATTGATGACTGTATCGGCGCCGCCTCGTGCTCCCACAAGGAGCTCAAACAGTTCATCCACTTCACCAACACCTTCCACCCCAAACTTAAGTTCACCTGGACCATCTCTGATACCTCCCTCTCCTTCCTGGACCTCTCTGTTTCCATCTCTGGCAACCACCTACAAACCAATATCCATTTCAAGCCCACCGACTCCCACAGCTACCTAGAATACACCTCCTCCCACCCACCTTCCTGCAAAAATGCCATCCCCTATTCCCAATTCCTTCGCCTCTGCCACATCTGCTCCCAGGATGAGGCATTCCACTTCTGTACAACTCAGATATCCTCGTTTTTCAAGGACTGCAACTTCCCCCCCTCAGTGGTCGAGAACACCCTCAACTGTGTCTCCCGCATTTCCCGCAACTCATCCCTCACTCCCCCTCCCCGCAATAACAACCAAAACAGAATCCCCCTTGTCCTCATGTACCACCCCACCAACCTCCGGATCCAACGCATCATCCTCCAACACTTCCGCCATCTGCAATCCAACCCCACCACCAAAGACATTTTTCCCTCCCCACCCTTATCTGTTTTCCGGAGGGACCACTCTCTCCGTGACTCCCTTGTCCGCTCCACACTCCCCTCCAGCCCCACCACACCCGGCACTTTTCCCTGCAACCGCAGGAAGTGCTACACCTGCCCCTACACCTCCCCCCTCACCCCCATCCCAGGCCCCAAGAAGACTTTCCACATCACACAGATGTTCACCTGCACATCTGCTAATGTGGTATACTGCATCCGCTGTTCCTGTTGTGGCCTCCTCTACATCGGGGAAACCAAGCGGACGCTTGGGGACCACTTTGCAGAACACCTACACTGGGTTCGCAATAAACAACTGCACCTCCCAGTCGCGAACCATTTCAACTCCCCCTCCCATTCCTCAGACGACATGTCCATCCTGGGCCTCCTGCAGTGCCACAACGATGCCACCCGAAGGTTGCAGGAACAGCAACTCATATTCTGCTTGGGAACCCTGCAGCCCAATGGTATCAATGTGGACTTCACAAGCTTCAAAATCTCCCCTCCCCCTACCACATCCCAAAACCAGCCCAGCTCGTCCCCGCCTCCCTAACCTGTCCTTCCTCCCACCTATCCTCTCCTCCCACCTCAAGCCCCCCCCCCATCTCCTACCCACCAACCTCATCCCACCCCCCTGACCTGTCTGTCCTTCCTGGACTGACCTATCCCCTCCCTAACTCCCCACCTACACTCACCTTTACTGGCTCCATCCTCGCCTCTTTGACCTGTCTGTGTCCTCTCCACCTATCTTCTCCTGTATCCATCTTCCATCCGCCTCCCCCTCTCTCCCTATTTATTTCAGAACCCCCTTCCCCTCCCCCATTTCTGAAGAAGGGTCTAGGCCCGAAAAGTCAGCTTTCCTGCTCCTCTGACGCTGCTTGTCCTGCTGTGTTCATCCAGCTCTACACCTTGTTATCTCAGAGTTACCTGGACGCTTTGTTTCAGGAGACAGTCACACCCCTTAGTTTAAGTACCTCTAATGCTGTCAGTGGTGAGGGACAGGAGGGTATGATTACCAACGAGGCAGGTGGAGAGATCCAGGAGGTAGCGCTAAAGGAGTGTCAGCCCTTAAGTTTGTCTAACAGGTTTGAGATTCTTGCTCCCCGTGTGGATGAGAATGGGGCCTGTCGGGAGGATGAGCAAACTGACCATAGCACCGTGGTACAGGGAAACATTCAGGAACGGGGCAGAAAAGGAAAATGTTGTTGTAATTGGGGATAGTATAGTCAGGGGAGTAGGTACAATTCTCTGTGGCCAGGATCGAGAGACCCAAAGGCTGCATTGCCTGCCTGGTGCCCGCGTTCAGGATATCTCACCTGCGCTGCACAGGAACTTGGATTGGGAGGGGAAAGGACAAGTTGTCATAGTCCACATAGGTAACAATGATATAGGTAGAAAGAGGTTCTTCTGAGGGAATATGAGCAATTAAGGGAGAAGAAAATAACTCAGGAGATAGAAAAGGCGTGTAAGAAAGGTACTGTTATGGCAGACTTCAATGTGCAGGTGGCGTCGGAAAATCAGTTTGGTAGCTCTCAAGAAAAGGAATTTGTGGAATGTCTATGAGATGGTTTATTGGAACAGCTTGAGGTAAAGTCCATTACGGAACAGGCAATTCTAGATTTGGTGATGTATAATGAAGCAGACTTGATTAAGGAGCTTGAGATGAAGGAACCCCATAGCACATAGTAGCATGTGAAACAGCTAGTCTCCCTGTTGCTCAAAATTTTGAGATAACTTATGCTGCCTGGGTAATCTGAGATAGACTGACACTTTTCATATACAAAGACCAGTTGTTCCACATTCAGTGGAAAAGGACCTCCATTGGACATTGACTTATTGGACTTTAATTCATGTGAATTAATACTAATATCATTTTTAAAGTGATTCATAACCATAACTTCTTTTCCTCTTTCTTTTCCTTCTTCCATGTATGTTTGTGGTGTGTGTAGGCATTGAGAATTATTTCTCAGGTTGAATGCTTTAAAAAAAAATCCTTTTGAGTTAGTTCCTAATCAAAGAGCTTGAGGAGAGGGAAAGAACCACAATCCATTTCAAAAGGGAAAATAAACAAAAGTAAATAAGTACAAAACCACTTCTGTTACAGACAGATGAGGAGAACAGTGAAATTAAGTAAATTCTTTTCTACCTCTTGTCTATGACAAGTTGAAGAACCAGTAAAGGAATGCACAAGACATCAAAAACAAGTTTTTACGAGAAAGTAGATGAGGCTAAAATAGTTTAAATGCAGTTTATATTCATTGATGCTTGCCTATATAAATAGGTCAAAACTGTATCAAAAGACTTGGGATGAAATTATCATTCCTACCATTAATTTGCGAGAGAAATACATGGATTTTTCCTCTGACTATTTATAGATACTGAACGTATAATAGTACTTAAAATTAGTTATACCATACTACTCAAAAAAGGAGAACTGTTAGAGGAAAAATTAGATTTATTATCAACTCTGCAACCATAACTAAGCTGACACCAAAAAACAGAAAAAGTGGGAGTTAACTCAATAGGAAAGGCAAAAGCAAAGGGATTTAGCTGATTGTTATTAGTAATGCATTACCTTCAGCTGACTGGATGCATTGACATTTGCAATAATACGCCGAGCAAATCCTCGGTTTTCAAGAGCTATCCTTTCTAGAAAATCATAGTCCACGTCAAAACCAATTCCAAGGCAGAAAAGAGAGAAATCTTCCTGCATTTGCCTTCTGACATTTCTCTGGATGTTGCTCAATTTAATTTCACCTGGATTATAAAATCAAATTCTAAAGGTTTAGAATCTCTCTTTTCCCAAGTTTTATTTAAATATTTGATACTTACACATTTAGAAAAATACATTCACTTTTAATGATCAGTACTTTGAATAAAAAGAAAGAAAGATTTGACCTTAGAACATCCCAAAAAGCTTTATAGGCAATAAAATACTTTTGAAATGTAGTCATGGTTGCAATGTAGAAAATATGATCGCCAAGTTGCCCACAGCAAACTCCCAAGGACACCTATGTACTTCTTGAGAGATGAACATTGGCCAGGATGCTAGATCTATCTCTTCTGCTCTTCAAAAGAGTCTCATAGGATATTTCATATCCATTTGAGAGTACTAACAGGGCCTTAGCTTAACATTTCATTTGAGGATTTTTAAAAATCATAATGGAGAAAGGCCATCTCACAACTATAAAAAACACTGATGAATAAATTTAGTATGCCATTGAGAAACGTCATTCAACAAAATCTAACCTTTTTAAGGAGTTTCTTTATTGAAACCAATAAAATGGAAATAGAAGTTTTCATCAGTTTAATAATTTTCATTTAACTACAGTCTATGGGGACCTCAACATGGCACTCTCTCCGGAGATGCAGAGGCTCACTGATAGTATTGTCTGGGTTTCTACGCTTAATTGCACATGTGCGGACTCCAGACATTACTGTTCATTTCAGAGGAACAGTGACGAAAATGTCCAACCATTACACTGCAAAATATTCAGCAATTTAATTTATTGGAACCCGGCTCTGGTGGTTGCTAGGTTTGATTTGGGTAGAACATTTCTGTGGGTTTGGTTTGGGGACAGATTAGTAGTCAGTTCTGTTGCCACAGCTGGGTTTTTCCATAAAGCTGGCAGAATGTGGGATGCTGGATAAGCAGCTAGATAGCGAGACAGTTGAAAGTGTGGTATATTGACTATAACTTCAGCAATCACATACTGCCGAGACTGTCAGATGTACTGGGAACTGTACTGCAGGGATCAGTGTTCTGTACTTTAGAATGTAATTGAAAGAGTATGGAACTCCAGAGAGTCCACCAGTTGTCACACTTAGATAAGGCAGAGACAGAAATGCAGCAGAATCAAAATAGGAGTAGTCTAGTTGAAGATAGCAGCCTGTAGTGTAGGACTGAGCCCTAACACCTAGACCTTATGGCAGGCAGAATCCACGAGAAAAGAGCATTGCAGTGTTGTATCCATGGAGGTAGATCAATCCATGGTGTCAGCTCAAACCAGAAGGACCAGGGGAGGTTTTTATCTTGTCAACAAATACATGGGAGTAGGGTTCCTCACTTTGCATCATTACATGGATAGTAACTGTTTTACTCAAATAATGCATGTCTTCTTCCTTTTCATTTTACTGGCAATGGAAAAGAAAGCGGTGAATATTTGCAGTAGCAATTGTAAAGCCTTTTCCAATTACATTAAGAACTGGAGTGTGATAAAAGGCCACCAAAGAATCTTTGAAGGAGGGCAGTTTCATGTGAACTCCACGGTCATGGCCAAGGCTTTAAATGACTACTTTGCATTAATCTTCACTCCTGCTGATTATGCTGAGTTACCATTAGTGCAAAGCGTCTTTGTAAATGTTAAAGTGAATGCTCATGTCAAGCTGAAAAGAAAATGTGCTCTCAAATTAGTTAATCATTTTAATTGACTGGGGTGAATATTCTCAATATATTAAAAGGAAAACCAGGTAGTTATAGGCCAATTAGCATGATGATAGTCATAAGAACATTGTTAGAAGGAATCATTAATGATACTATGTATGATGACCATGAAAGACAAGGATTAATAGAGACATGCAACATGACTCTAGAAAAGCAATTCATTTCCTAAGAACATTGAATAATTCAAGGAGATAACTAAACTGATGGAAGTAGGTGGTCTTGTAGTCATTGCACTTTTAAACTTTTAAAGAGATTTTCAAAGGTGATTTCGCAACCTCATAACAAATCAAAATGATTAGCAGTGAATTATGTCTGTTCAAAGTGTAGACATGGCTATAAGTACTAGACAGTTTCAGTCAAGAACTATAGGGCGGCATGGTGGCTCAGTGGTTAGCATTGCTGCCTTACAGCACCAGGGACCTGGGCTTGATTCCACCCTTGGGTGACTGTCTGTGTGGAGTTTTCACATTCTCCCCGTGTTAGCATGGGTTTCCTCCCGCAGTCCAAAGATGTGCTCGGTAGGTGGATTAGCCATGGAAATGCAGGGTTACAAGGATAAGGTATGGGGTTGGGTCTGGGTGGGATGCTCTGCAGAGAGTCGGTATGGACTCAATGGGCTGAACGGCTTGCTTCCACACTCTGAAATATATTTCTATGAAATATCTGTAAACAACACTGAGGTAAATAACTGGGATCATAATTTTATGACAATCTAAGTGGGTAGGCACAACCTTGGTTTAAAGTCTCAATCTTAAAAGATAAAACATCCCTCAGTACCACACTGAAATGCCAACCTAGACAGTGTGTTCATGACAGTGGGATCTGTGGGATTGGAGGCAAAATCCTGGGTTACACATGGAATTAGTTGCATTTTCTTAAAGGGTCATTAAAGTTAATGGCTCCTTCAGGACAGTGGTCACTAGTAGAGTCCTGCACGGATCTACATTGGATCAATACTTTTTTCTAATATTCATTCATGGGATGTGGGCGTGGCTCGCTGGTCCAGCATTTATTGCCCTTATCCTAAATTGCCCTTGAGAGGGTGATGGTGAGCTATCTTCTTGAACCACTGTACCATAGGTAGACCTGCAATGCTCTTGACAATCTGTAATGATGAACTAACTAAATCTGTTGAGGATACTGTTCAGCAGTTTGAAACTGACATAAAGATCTGTCTCAGAACCCTGAATGAAAAAGAAAAAAATTACTGTCCAATCTAGATTTGATGTAGAAATATGCAAACACCCAGCAGATGGAATTCAGTATCAATGATTATTATCTATGTAAGCAGACCTAATTTTTTATGCAATGTCAACTTCCAATTTATGGCCTGCTCAGTATGAAATGGATTTTGGTGTTATCGTATGTATGATAACATCTCTGAACAGGGTGATTAGAAAAGTTCTAAATGTTCACAGCTAGTGCTGAAAGATTATAATAAAAACAATTGTAGGGTATATAGCTAGACCAATGCAACTCTAAACATCATAATGCCTAAGACAAGACCTTGGCGGGGCCTTATCTTGAGTATTATGTCCAGTTCAGTTGGTGGGAATTATAGAGGACTGGGAAAAAGTTCTGAGGAAAGGTATTTGATTCATTCCTTATTTAAAAACGCTTACCAAAATAGGATCAGAGAAATGGGTCTTTTCATTACACAAAATAATTACCATAATTCAAGATTAATTCATTGGCTATGATGCACTGACAACGTAAATTGTGCCATATAAAATGTAGTTCTTCTACACCAATTAAGATAAATATTTGTCAAAATAATTTGTATCAACATCTACATATTGAATAATAATAATGCAACTGATTGCATTGACTGAGATAAAGCAATGTGAGAAAGACAATTAAGTTGAAATATTTTACAAGATATCAATGTCAATTAAACCACAAACACAAATATCTTATTAAAAATGAAAAAAATGCACCAGGAAATATTCTTGAATAGTACCATACACACTAGAAGTATTCTTATTTCTAACATATCTGTTATTTAACAGAAACCATGCTCATTAGGCCACGGGTTTCTTGGAATTAAAAGGTGAATGAAATTACATCAGACTGGAGGATTTCAAAAATATAGCACAGAAAGAAAAGGAGTTTTAGGCTGTTTTCGCGTCATATGGAGCTGTGACCCACAAGCACCAACTAATGAATATCGAGTAAGCCCTATCAGATGCACCTACTTATACCTCTATATTGTGGCCTCAAAAGCTGCAATTTAAACACATCCGAATCTTATTAGTTAGGTTACATTAGAAATCATTTAGTGCATATGGATAATTACATTTCCACTACTATTCACCAGGATGATACCAGACAGAGGGATTTTAACAATTACAAAGAATTGTGAAGACTAGACTGTTATTCCCCAGAAGACTCATTGTGACCTGAGTGAGATCTTTATCAGAAAGAATCAGTTAAATTGGGTAGAAGAGGGGAAAGTGTTCTTACTTGAGGAGATCAAACCTGGAGGTCATGGATGCAAGAAAGTCAGTAATTAGTCCAACTGGAAATTTAGGAGATGTTTTCCCGAGAAAGTGTTTAGAATTTGGAATTTGCTAGCACAGTATTGAGATTACTAACACAGATACATTTAAAAGTTAGCTAAATCAGCACATGAAGAAGAAAGTAACAGAAAGTTGTACTGAGATAAAGGGAAGACACTGCAGATGCTGGAAACCTGAAATAAGAACATAAAATGCTGAGGAAACTCAGCATCTGTGAAGAGAGAAACAGTTAACATTTTGAGTCCAGTATGTCTACCCTTCAGAAGGCAAAATATTGACTAGTGCATTCTTTTCATTGTTTAATAAGCCTAAACAGCATTTGGTTCTGAGGAAGTCAAATTGTACTTGAAAGTTAATGCTTGTCTCCATCCATAGATGCTGCCAGACCTGCTGAGTTTCTCCAGCATTTTCTGTTTTTGCTTATACAAGAAAATTATTTTGAAAAGGTTACATGAATAAGAGTGTGAGGAGGAGTGTGTGGAACGTAAGTGCTGTTACATACCAATAGACCAAATGGTCTGTATCTGTGCCAGAGATTCCATACATATTGATGAGCAGTAATATCATCTATTTTATGTATATATAGTATTACAGATAATATATAAAGGTGAAGTCACTATAGTCCTACTGGACTATAGGACTGTCCTCTCTTTAGAGAGAGACAATCAGTGGTGGTTTATCCTAAGCATCACCACATCTCAGGTGAGGGGAGGGGTTGAGAAGGAAAGTCCTTCATGGTAACCTCAGGCAATGTGGAAATTTAACACATGCTGGTGGCATCACCCTGCAACACAAACCAGCCATCCAGCCAACTGAGCCCCAAATAATACTTATTACCATCATTACGTGCTTACCTACTGTGGGGTCTCCATCCGAAAACATAATAATGAACGATACAGATCGTGGACCCAGCAGACCCAACTTATTGGCCTCCATTAATATATAAATAGCTGAAAGGATTGCTTCATTGATGTTTGTTCCTGTTTAAGGATAAAGATGGGGACTGTAAATGAATGATGCATGCCATATAAATAAATAAATGCTTCTCCAATCAGTGGAGCAGTTTGGATATAGAGAGCTGCAGTAATTATATGATTATTTTCAGATTTGCTATGTTTCAAGAAGAGTCTAGGAGTTGGGGTGTAATGTTGTGGCTGTATAGGACACTGGTAAGGCCACTGCATACAGTTCTAGTCACACTCCTATAGGAAGGATGAAGTTAAACTTGAGCGGGTGTTGAAAAGATTTATAAGGCTGTTGATGGGATTTGAAGGTTTCAGTAATAGGGTGAGGCTGAATAAGTTGTTTTTTTTTCCCTGGAGCTTTTAAAGAGCATCACACTTTATAAGGGGTGACCTTATAAAGATTTATAAAATCATGATGGACATCAATAGGGTGAAGAGCCAAGATCTTTTTGGAAGAGGGGAGGAGTCCAAAACTAGAGGGCATAGGTTTAAGGTGAATGGGGAAAAATTTTAAAATGACCTGAGGGGTAATTTTTCACACAGAGGATGGTGCGTGTATGGAACGAGCTGCTGGAGGAAGTGATGGCTGGTACAATTACAACATTTAAAAGGCATTTGGATGGGCACATGAATAGTAAGAGTTCAGAGGAATATGGGCCAAAAGCTGACAAATGGGTCTAAGTCACATTGGGATGCCTGGTGAGCATGGATGAATCAGATCAAAAAGTCTATTTCCATGTTGTATGGCACTGTGACTCTAAAAGTTCCCTTTTCTTTTACGAATGGCCTGCAACTGTTCTACTTTTCAGAAAGGTCAGATTTTTGTTTTACTGATCTCCATATAGATGCTGGCCACTGAGCTTAAACCAATTCTTCACTCTTTAGATATCATGGGGCTGGTCTTTACATCCACTGCTTGTGGGTTTGAAAGTGCTTTTGACTTTCCCACTGTCCACCTGTCCCTGTGAACTGTTAGAAATGTTACTGAGGACAGGCCACCTGCCTTTGGACTGGTTAGGATTTTGAATGACCAATGAATGGGCAATTTGGAGCCTCTTTTGCTGCGGCCAGTATTTATCCCACACCTGGAGGTTTAGCCACACACTGTTGGGCATGGAGGAGGAGATCTCTTTTGAGGACCCTCCAGGATAATTAGCAGCAGGCAACCCCCTTTCACTTCATGAGATTGTCTCCCTCTTTTAGCCCTCTCCTGGCCTCTTGAACCTGGCATCCCCACCCTCCCATGACCTGCAACCCCATTGCTGAGGTTCCCAGATTCAGGTCTGACATAGTGTCCTCGGCGTGGTGGGACAGTTTGTAGTTCCAGGAGTAGCCATTCCACCAGCTGGCTCTGCTGGATCCACAGATTTGCTGCCCATCCAATTGGTCAACAGCAAACTAAGATGGAGCTTCAGAGATCTTGCCTTAAATGCTGATTCATCTGCTGTGGGAGGGGGCATGGTCAGGAGCGTGGACAAGCTGTGGCAAGATTTTTTACATGATAAGGGAGGAATCTGCAGAACATTCAACCTGTACGATAAAAATATTTAACAGAGACTGGAGGCAGAGATTTACAATCCCTTGTTAATTTCCAACTTTTCCTTGATGTGGATCAGGCCACATTTGCATCATGACAAGTGCTGTGCAGATACTACTCGTATCCTGATCATTCAAAAACTCTCCATCATCTACAAGACTGATGTTGAGAGTAACATCCCCTCCAATCCAGCATAGGGGATCAATATGCAACACACAAGTAGCCTTTCCCTTTCAGGCTCTTTCATGTTGGACCTCATGGTGAACATAATAGATTTTTTTTAAGTTCACTCATGGGATGTGAGCGTCACTGGTTAGGTCAGCATTTATTGCCCATCCCTAATTGCCCAGAGAACAGTTAAGAGTCAACCACATTTCTGTGTGTCTGGCGTCACTTGTAGGCCAGACGAGGTAAGGATGACAAGGTAAAAGACATTAATGATCCAGATGGGTTTTTTCCAACAGCCAACAAAGACTTCATGGTCATCAGTAGAGCCTTAATTCCAGATTCTTTATTAAATCCAAATTCCACCATCTGCCATGGTGGGATTTGAACCTGGGGCCCCAGAACATCAGCTGAGTTTCCTGATTAATAGTCTACTTAAAATACCACTGGGGCATTGCACGCCCAGGGCAATAAACTCACTGCACACTGCAAAGGAACACTACAGGGAAAATTGATGAAGGGCATGATGGAATACACACCACATGCCTGAAGTGGTGTAACCTCCTTTAAAAGGTTCAATGCTATTCAAAACAAAGCAGTTCACTAAACCATCAGCCCTGTCATTGGAGTCAGTATCACCCTACTCTGGCACTACGTGGTTCCAGAATGTACACAATTGCAGGATACATTACAACAACTCTCAAACTTGCTTTCACACCATCATCTAACTTTGTGAGCTCTGCCATTAAAATGGCCAAGAACTATAATATCTTAATTGTGAGCACCGCCATTTCCACATTCTGCTCTGAGGGCATATATCATTCCGATTTAGGCGCGGCTTCATGTTCCTTTATTGTTGCTGGTTCCAAAACTTAGAATTACCCTCCCAGCACCATGATGGAGGAAACACAGTCATTAGAAGGGTTTCCTGGACTCAAGGTGACTAGCCATTACCTTTGTTGGGGAACCAGGGGTAGACCATAAATGTAGTCAACTATATTTCCTCCATTTCATTAGCAAATTAAAAATTCTATGTACATCTATTAAATTTTGTTTTCTAAAGACACAAGTTAAATATAGATCCCTCTTAGTAACTGGTTAATACAGTGTGGATTACATGGCTTCACTGTTTCTGCAAAGATAGAACACTGCTTCACCAACCTACCATGAACAACATCGGAGGTGGTTCACTCCATATCAAAATGAGTTAAGGGAATGTAAACCACTGTACCAAGAGTCAATAAAAATAATAACATAACCCTGAAAAGGTTCCCTCATTGACTCTGTGGGTTAGTCAGTCAGTAGATGTCATCTCCGTCTCAGTTTTTCTCCTCAGTCACTACAGGGTTTAGGTGATCTCAGCCATGTGGTAAGAATTAGCCTCATCATTCAGAGTTTCAATTCTGTTAATTATTTATCAGGAAGTGCTTTTTTATGGCACACTGGGTTAAAATTAGTTGTGACATCCACACAACTGAAACAATGCTAGCAGTCTCTGCAAGGCCTTTTACCATTTGATGGGATGTAGGCATCACTGGCAAGAGGAGCACTTGTTGTCCATCCCAAAGAGACTTTGCACCTGAAAAGCTTGCTAGACTATTTCAGATGCAACCCCACTGCCATCCAGCATATGGTCCAGACCAGATAAGGATAGCAGGTTTCCTTCCCTCCTGATGAACAAGGATGGTTTTATTGATGATCGTGGTAGTTTCATGGTCATCAGCGTTGTGACTAACTTTCAGTTCCAGACTAATTAGTTGAATTCAACTGCCATAGAATCACAGAAGCCTTACAGTGCAGAAGGAGGCCATTCAGTCCATCCTGCCTGCAATGGCTCCTCAAACAACCGACATCACCTAGTGCCAGTCTCCTGCTTCTTCCCCATATCCCTGCACACTATTTCTATCCGAATAATCATCTAATGCCAGCTTAAATGCCTCAATTGAACTGGCCTCCACCACACATTCAGGCAATGCATTCCATACCCTAACTACTTGCTGAGAGAAAAAGATTTTCTTTCATGTCACCCTTTGCTTCTTTTACACATCACTTTAAATCCACGCCCTCTCCTTGTTCCTTTTACATGTGGAAACAATTTCCCCCTGTATACTCTATCCAACCTGCTCACGATTTTGAAAACCTCTATCAAATCTCCTCTTTGCCTGCTTCTGTCCAAGGTCAAAAGTCACATGATACCAGGTTATAGTCCAACAGGTTTATTTGAAATCACAACCTTTCAGAGCGCTGCTCCTTCATCAGGTGAAGACAAAGGGGAAGTGCTCTGAAAGCTTGTGTTTTCAAATAAACCTGTTGGACTATAACCTGGTGTCATGTGACTTTTGACCTTGTCCATGCCAGTCCAACACCGGCACGTCCACATCACTCCTCTCTAAGGTGAACTGTTCCAATTCTTCAATCTATCCTCATAATGGAAGTTCTTCATCCCTGGGACCATTCTTGTAAATAGCTTTGGCACCCTCTTCAATGTATTGACACCTTTCCTATAATGTGGCCCAGAAATGCACACAATACTCTAGCTGAGCCATGGTGGAATTTGAATTCATGTTCCAGAGCAGTAGCCTTTCCTTTTGGGTCACTAGTTTAATAGAATTAGCACTGCATTACAATCTCCCTGTAACTCACACATTAATGATAGCCACTTGGATGAGATGCTGTATGGAATCATATGCAACAAACAATACACATTTTCGAAATTTGATGAAGAAAAGGGAGAAAACATATAAACCAACACCTTTGAACAAACTTGTAAATAATGGTGGTTGGTACTACAATTTGTTGCATGTTCAAACCTGTGATTCATTATTTAGCAAGTGCTATGCTATTATTGTGGCAATGTGAGGAGCAAAATTGAGTTCAGGTCTTTTCTCACAGGGAACCTCAGCAATGAGTCACCTGGGATTATTCTTACGCATCTCCTAAAGACATACCACCATTGGGCTGGATTTTCTCAATATATTTTTTGGCATCTTCAATGAAGATGGGAGTGGCTGCAACCAGTTTATCACTCCAGAAACGAATGTTGTGGTTGAAATCAATAATTGTGAAATGGTCCTCCGGGCGAAGATCGGACAGAATCGTTGTCATGGCTTCAACGGTCTAATATAGAGAATGAAAAACATTGACTGGTTGAAGTGAAGTTTGTTTATCATCGGGAACAAAATCAATGTTACTGGAAAAGCTCAGCAGGTCTGGCAGCATCTGTGAAGGGAAATAACAGAGTTAACGTTTCGGATCCAGTGATCCTTCCTCAGACCGCAGAAGGGTCAGCGGACCCAAAACATTAATTCTGTTTTTTTCCTTCACAGATGCTGCCAGACCTGCTGAGTTTTTCCAACATCTTCTGTTTTTGTTCTTGATTAACAGCATCTACAGTTCTTTCGGATTTTTTTTTGTATATCAACGGATTCAGTTTCCCAGAATAATTGGGTATGCTGAAAAGTTACTATGGAGTCACTTCTGCAGTTTATTCCTGTCTATTCCTATGCATGTCTATACACTTAGTTATTCAATTTTTAAAAAATCCTAGAATATTGTCAAAAACTTATGTTTTTTGAGATAGGGACATTTTCAGAAGCAAACACAGAAGGCTGGAAACAACAGATCTGGTAGTATCTGTGGAGAGAGCAATACAGTTAATGTTTCAAATTAAGTATGACCTTTCCTCAGGATTGAAAGGCATTTTTAAAAAATATACATTTAACAGAACCAGATGAGGAGCAAGAGGGCAATTGGTGTAGAGACTCAATGCAAAAGACAAAAGGGTAGCTGATAGTGAAAGAAGAAAGAAAAGATATAAAATGGGTGTAAATAAAGGTGTGAGAGGGAGAGAATTAGTCCTGTTTACTAAATGCAAGGTAAACAAGACCCAAACATGACAAGGATGTAAAGGAGAAAATGTATGAAAAATGGAGTTCTGAGGTCGTCACTCTTCATTCTAAGTTTGTTCTCTCTGGTTGGGGTTTTGTGTGGAGCTGGTGCATTTCAGGAAATTGAAGGTGCATGTAGTGATTGGAACCAGGTGGACCTTATTGAGTATGATATCCTTGATTGGGGTTGTTAACCTGGGCCAATCAGGGAGCCCTGGTTGACCAATGTAAGCAAGGAATTCAGAATCTCCTCACTTCAGCGACTGACTCTGAGCTGGCTGGCCATATCCAGTGTACTGTGCATATGTAAATAAAGGGCAACTTGGTGACGGGATACCGGCCTCTGTGCAGTTATTTCAATGCAGTTCTGCCTTCAACCATCCATTGCATTTCAACAAACGCAGAATTTCTGCATTTGCACTTTTTGAATGCTTTCTCAGCCACATGAGGTCTCCTAAAATTTACCCAAAAGCATGTCATCAAATTGAGGAATTATGACCTGGATTTTCACCAAATCAGATTGAAATTGACTCAGATTAAGGAAATGAAAGAGATGGGATGTGGCAACCAAGAATGAACAGGATTTCCTGTGCAAATATAATTTGTGAAAATCTTTGCCCTGGTCTTCCTGCTGCTGGGGATCCATGAATCACAAGGCATAAGTCTTCTGAAGAAAATTAGACTGACCCTGGCAGCAAAGGTAATTGGAAAAGAAGAGATCTTGTAGGGCCAGTACAGCTCAATTGGGTCTGAAGCATGGAGAAGTGAAAAGAATAACTTTGAAGTTTTCTCAGCCTGCATCATTCAGAACCTTAATATTGAAACAATATCACTGAAGCAAAAGGGTTTACCTGCTTCATTTTAATTCCCCACATTGAGCCACTGACATCAATGACAAAGATGATGTTTTTAGGAAGTGGTGGAAGATTATTAGGAGCAAAAAAGTGAGCAAAGTAACCATTGGAAACCTACAGTGAGAGAGAGAAACGATTAGCAATGCTTTCGCACAAAATAACCTTTTCTTTCCCAAAGATGTAAATGCATCAGTAAGATAAAAGTGAAATGTTCTAAAGTTTGGGCAAGACCTGAATGTTTCCACCATTGAGCTCCCGTTTCACATCATATTTCACAATAAAGCTTCCATCAATGGCAGAGTCTGTACAATTTGGGCATTTCCGCTGTTGGTCCACAGTTGGCTTGAAGGAAACATGAGCCTAAAAATACAAGATGGAATTGTGAGTTACCTGTCCAGGTTGAGAGTTGAATCTAGCACTGGTTTCTGGGAGGTATTATTGTGCCTGTTTTAACTTCAACCAGTGCATCAAGCAATTTCTCTGCACAGCAGCCTTTTTTTTTGACACTTTGGCAGGTTTACAGGAAGTTTCAATTAAAGGAACTGACATTATAACATGTTCTGGAGTTAGATCAGCAGGCATCTTCATTACTCTGCTGGGACTAGTTTTGCTTGCTCAGCAGCACTTTCACTTACATATTTGTTGTGGGTTGGAGGCATCAAGATTATGAGAACTATTTAGACAATCTAGGTTGATTTTAACTGCAGCAACTTGGCAGTAACTGAGAGAGATTAGCCTGAAATTGGTGCCAGATGATTTGCTGTCTCATTCACTTTGACCTTTCCAGCTACCATCTTGGTAGTGGTTTTCCAATGAATGGCCTGCCACATTTAAGATGAAAATTGGGATTCTTCAATTGAGATAAGATGCCAGGTGCAATTTTATTGTACAGATGGGCAAAATAGGTGCTACAAAAATGTTTGAGTCCACATGTTCTTCTTATGCAGATTGGTTTTCCCTCCATGTACAGTTCATGTAGGAATGGGCTGATTATCCCATGCTCCCCGGCCTATGGACATATCCCCGGGTTGTGAAACAGTTCAATTCCTGAGACCATTCGCAAGTCAATTTGTAAGCAAGTCAGAACACGACGCAGGACAATATAAAATAGCTGTTAATAAGTACAGGAGATGTTCATAAGTTGGATTTTTAAAACGCCAACCCTGTTCATAAGCCTGACATTTGTAAATCAGGGACCCCCTGCAGCATCCTGCACAATATACATGAGGTGGGACATTAAAACATCCTGGCAGCAGCAAGAAATGAGCAGTAATTAGGCTCACCACCCAATCTGTTCTGAAAATTTAAATTAGCCCCACCTTGCATTCATGTAGTCAGAAGTCGCACAACACCAGGTTATAGTCCAACAGGTTTATTTGAAATCACAAGCTTTTGGAGCGTGGATCCTTCACCTGACAAAGGGGCAGTGCTCCGAAAGCTTGTGATTTCAAATAAACCTGTTGAACTATAACCTGATGTCATGTGACTTCTGACATTGTCCACCCCAGTCCAACACCGGCAGATCCACATCATGCACTCATGAAGTATCTGCAACAACAGATTCAATCAGTCTGAGCACATCACGTTTTTTTTAAAATCCCTATCACTAGTCAAGCTGAATCCTTCTTTTTATGAACAATGAATCCTGTAATGATACAATCAATACAAATATTTTGACTTAGCCTCTAACTGTACTCATTGAAATTTGGATCATATTTAATTATTTCTTTGATTTCTAATTTTCAATCATTTTGCTTTTAACAGGTTTATGCACTGTTAAAATTAGTAAGAGACAATGTTAGGAGAATTAACAGCCTAGGATATGACAATGACTATGCATTAGAGTCATAGAAACATATGATACAGTAGAGGCCCGTTGGTCCATTGAGTCTATATATCCAAGCTGCAGAAGTGATTAGTTTCTAAATTAGAAAAGTAAACAATTTGGAGCTCTACAATCCATGTGGCAAGAGAAAATTGGAATAGGGAATTAATTTATTTAACCAGTTAAATTTCCTACAAGTGCGGACCAGGCATTAATGTCTGAAAGTATTATTCCCACCAGTTGTATCCTTGATCACCCTATCCAACTGTAATATAATCATAGTTTCTTAAAAGGATGCATCAAATTAAAACCTTCAGCTCATTGAATAAAGTCCTTTCAAATGCTTTAAACTAGTGGAGTGGTGAACTATCTCAGTAGATTGTAGGCCAAATATAATGAAAAACAGTTTTATTGTTGAAGTCACTCATGAAACAAGTTGCGACTATGCTTTGAGATTCAGGGCAGTACTATTTTGAGCAATAGTGTGTTAGAGAGAGGCAGGCTGACGGCCCAGATGGTCTTATCATATGAGCCTACAATAGCAACTCCAATTTGAAACACAGGGCTGCTACTCATTGCAAAAGCATTTTAGATCTCATAGAATCATGGAGTCATACAGCATGGAAACAGACCCTTCCTCCAAACAGTCCATGCTGAACATAATTCCAAATTAAACTAGTCCCACCTGCCTGTTCCTGACCCATAGCCCTCCAAACTTTTCCTATTCATGTACTTATCCAAATGTTTTTTAAACTTTGTAATTGTACTTGCATCCACCACTTCCTCAGGAAGTTCATTCCACACATGAACCACTCTCTGCGAAAAAGCAAAAAATTGCCTTTTACGTCTTTTTTTAAAATCTCTCTCCTCTCACCTTAAAAATATGCCCCCTTTCATGAATTATAATTGGATTTTGACAACACTGCATTTTCAGTAAATGCTAAACCAGAATGCTGAAAATGCAGTCCCCATCGGTTATCATCTGACAGCAAAAGATAAGTTGACTTTTAAGTTCAGTCCATTATGGGCAAATGGTTCTCATGGAAAGTTGCAGCCAAAGCATTGATATATTCAATTACTCACCAGACATCTCTGCATTTTTTGTTTTTCATTTCAGCTTTCTGATATTGTATTTGTATTTCCTTTTCTTAATACCTCTTGTATTTTGAATGCTACCAATACAGTACTGTGCAGTGAGCAACTTGATAAGTATTGGCATAGAACCAGTTTCAATGAAAAATGGAAGATACATACTAAATTAAATACTAACGGTGTCAAGGAGTATGGTAAGAGAGTGGGAGTACGGTTTTGACAGCTAGATCGACCACGTTATAGTGAAAGGTAGAGCAGACTTAATGGGCTGAATGGCCTACTCTTGTTCCTATTTTCTATGTTTCTGTGCTTCTTTAATGGACTATAGTAATTATAGTTTAGATCTATGGGTTGAACATTCAAAACCGGTGCAATATTGTTTATGGATCTCTGTGTTAAGTATCATAATTTGTTTTTTTAGAAAAGCCTAATAGAAGTTGTAACTAATGTTCACCTTGTTTTCTCCTTTAGTCATACGGATGAGCCCATCAAACTGTTCTCCGAGCATGTTAGGTGCTTCAATACGGCTGATCCCTTGCGGCTCAAATATGTAGACATCCACCTAAGGGGAATATAAATGATGTTCTTAAAAGATTGACTCATTAATTAAATATATCAGATTCCCTTTTATTTTGTCCTAGAGATGACGAACAAATCCACATAACTTAACTGTGAACAGCAACACCATCAAACCATGCCTTAATATCCACATGTAACATCAACTTAACACAAGGATCAGGAACAGGAATCTTAACTAATTGTTTCCTAGTCGAGCAATGCTGAGGCCAGTTACAATGTCCCTGTCAGTACATGAACCGAGACTACCTAACCCAGCACAGATTACAGAGAAATCTGTGATCTGCCCATTCTGAAGATAATACTACACTTAACCATTGAACTGTCAGGAATCTGAATATTTATTTATTTATCAATCTCCTGTTGCCCCTTGGGTTATTCTAGAATTTGGAGTCAAGTTGAAATGTTTGATCTGCCTCTTACTGACAACTGTAATGACTAGGAGAATGCAGGTATTTACAGTTGCATAGAAGCTGCTATGGGCAGCATTGGCTGAGTTGGGTCCCTTCAGATCCACTGATCTTGGGTGGTCCAGGATCAGACAGACTGGGGTTCCTGTCATTGCATTGTCTTAGGGTGGGGAGTGTGGATTGCTCCGTTCCAATCCTCACTTGTCCACATCTTCAATACATTCTGTTCTGAGGAAGGGTCACTGGACCAAAACATTAATTCTTATTTCTTTCCACAGATGCTTCTACAGACCTTCTGTTCTTGTTTTTTTCTCTTTAATTTTTTTCCTCTTCTACCCATTCCCTTCTTCACAGGTTGAAGAATGCTTGAAGCCAAGGTTCAGTGCTTTGTATATCTCTATGCTCCCTTAGCAGGTTGGGGGACCTTCTGGCCTAGAGGCGAGGACACTACAACATCACCACAGCATCCCTTAAAATCAGGAAGGATGGGAAGCAAAGGCGGTAAGGTGTGAACCTACGTGGGTTTCAAATGGGTTTCAATGGATTTCAAATCAATCGCCTTAACCATAAAGTTTGCATTTCATTTGAAACCAGTTTCAAACTCTCCTTGAATCTGAAAAATACATGCAGAAAATTGAGGGTGGGCCAAACCAAATGAGAACAAATCTGGTTACAGTCTTGTTCTTACTACACAAGTGTACACAATTGGAATTTGACCCTGAAATATTTACAACACTTCCACAGTACTTATTCAGCCATAGTGTGTTAGAGACTCTGATAACATATTGTAGCAGTTTTAACAGATGCGTAATCAGGAAAACTGTGTGTGATTTAACGCACCTAAGGTGAGTGGTCGCATAATGATAATGTCAATTGACCTGCTATCCATAAACTCTGGGAACATGAATTTGAATGGCAGATGGTGAAGTTTGAATTCAGCAAAATCTGGAATATAAAGTTAGTCTAACGGTGACTGTGTCAATTGTGGTAAAAACTCATCTGGTTACAAATGTTCTTTATGGATGTTTTCCTGGTCTGGCCTAGATGTGACTCTAGACCCACAGCAATATGATTATGGATGGGCAATGAATTCTGGTCTAGCCAGTGATGCCCACACCCCAAGAACAAGTTAAATAAATCTCACCTGCATCAAGTTAAAATTGAGCTCTATAGATGATGAGCCTGCAATGAGGTCAGTCAGGTGGACCTCATAGAATATGAGTTCCCTGATTGGGGCTGTTAACCAGGTCCAATCAGGGAGTCCTGGCTGACAGATATAAACAGGAGTGTCAGAGGGTCTGTTCACTCTGAAAAAGCTGTATCAGTGTCAAGGACTCTCCATGTGTAAACAAAGGGTAAATTGGTGATGGGATACCAGCCTCTGTGGAGTTATTTCAGAGCCAAAGAAACAAGTTGGAAAATGTGAACAAAAGCTTTACCATTGAGATGGGTTTTAAAGAAGGTTTTAACAGGAAGTGTATGAGGTTGCAGAATTCAAATAGGAAACTATCCTTTTGGAAATAATACTCGCAATCCAGTAGCAAGAAGGAATATTGAATGTACCTGGAGCTGCTTCACCAAGTTTCCTGGGCGGAGTATAATAGTCTGTTCATAAAACCCCAGTTGTCGTTGTAACAGTTCTTGGCAATAAAGTTCAAAGCTGACTTTGCTCCCACCAGGAACATTCACTTCAGCTTTAAAGCTTTCCATCTCATGAGCCGATGTCCTAAACATGGAACACATCAAAAAATTATGAGCAGACTTTTTTGATAGCCTAGTATTCTTTTGGGTGACTAACAATATACGCAGGAAAGAAGACAATCATTTTGTGTTTGACTTTGGAGACTAGTTAACCACTAGGTGAGGAGGGGAGATCCAGGAATACAAATAGAATGTGTAATACAGGAAAAAAACTTAAATATCAGTGGAGACTTTACCTAAGAATTCCAGCAGCCTTCCCTTGGGCTCGTGCTTGTGCGTAAAGATTTCTGGCCACACTTTTCTCATGCACAGATCCAACAAACGTATTATCATTCACCGTCCTGTGTGAGAGATGGAAATCTTATTTATTAATTCCATTACAATAATAATGCAGGTTTATTTTGCTGTTTATTATCGAATCTACTTTTCCCATTTTTCATTTTGCACAGTTACCTTGAACCCGATTTATTCTCCCCTCTCTTTATCTTAGGAGTTTGGAGGTTAATCATGTTGCTTCTATGGATCAAACCTGGGATGCAATGGCCCACAACTTAGCATGAAAGAAAATCTTGTGTTTCTAAAACACCCATCATGAGCACAGCCAGTTCCAAAACTCTTTACAGTCAGTGAAGGGCTGTTGAAGTATTGTTGTGTTAGAAACATGCTAGTCAATTTTCTCAAAGTACAAATAACCTTTCAAACAAAACTGTTGACTTCAGAGTTCACATGTTTTGTAAATAAATTTGTCATATTTTTCCCTCAGAAATACACTTCTGTTAATCAACTCACGTGGCATGCAATTTCGAAATTGGGGATTTATTGAGCGGTCAAATGCAAGTCAACAACCCAAAGAGGATTCACATGAGCTAATATACACAAAAATATATGAAAGTCCCATAACTTCACCGAATTGTCCTACTATTTCAGTAAAATGGTCATTAGTGAGAAGAAACCAAAAAATAAAACTGTGGATTCTGTAAATCAGAAACAAAAAGAGAAATTGCTGGAAAAACTCAGCAGATCTGGCAGCATCTGTAGACAGAAATAAGAGTTAACATTTCGGGTCAAGTGATCCTTCCTCAGAGCTCTGATTTCTCTTCACAGATGCTCTCAGACCTGCTGAGATTTTCCAGCAATTTCTGTTTTTGTTTCATTAATGAGAAGAGTTTGTTTTAAAAATAATCAAGATATGAAAACTTATGTTTGACTTAATCTTCAATGCTTTACAACTGCTGTTTATGATGAATGCGATGAATAACCAATTTTAGATGTCTGAAGGGATGGAGGAATGATTTAAATTTGATCATTGTCAGTGACAAATGGACTCATAGTGAATTAATCACCATCTTGTCATTGCATACAATTTTCTTCTCCAAATTTCCCAGAGCTCTAGCTGCATGAAGTTGGTTAGAGCACTGAAAATGGGTGTTGCAATCATCAGAGCCCTGTTTAAAAATCCAGATTACTGTCTGTGGGATCCTGATGTGATTATCTTGGACCAATGACTGCGTGTGTTCAGCCTATACCCTAACCTTCAAACGGAACAATTTTGTAAAGTTCTTCCACAAGGGACAAAATTTACTTTTCTTTCATTTTTGTTGAGGCCAGGTACAGATATACTACTCCAAGAAAAGCCGCCACTCCCATAGGTCTCCGTATGCATCCTCAGTATGTTTCTGCCTAGGATTGTGTGCTCCCTCTCCCCCGATCTGTCCTGTCTGCTGGATCACCCTGCTGACCTTTAACCTGGTCAGTCTGCTGAGCAGCCTCAGAATTTCTGCTTGACCACATACCAAGATGACCTGAACACCGGCTATTGCTCTTGGACCTGGCCAGTTGATCACAGAGCAGATTGAAATTGCTTGCATAGATGATGCTATCAGCCTCCCCAGTGGTTGTGTCAATGCAAGTGCTGTATAGCGCCATATTAAGCCACAATAACTGTGAATCCCACACTTGATTATCAGGATGTGGATTCCAGCTGAGGTAGCAGTAGGAGTGATATATGTGGCCAGAGCAGTCCTTGCTTACAATGATACAAATCTGAGAAATGGCAAGGCCAATATCTGAAAGAGAAACAGTAAGGAAAGGATCTCACCCTGATGCTCTGAGGACCTGCTGATCATTTTGCACACTTTCCCTGTTTATGAAAGTAACTGTCAGGAGCTGTTCGAAGGAACAGTTTTACTTGCTTTCATAACTCACATCGTGAAATTTGAGATGTAGGCTCCTTTTGGAATTTCTACGTTGAACGTCACATCCTGTGGACTCGAATCCTTATTCACTACCTTCATGCTGAAGACTGTTTCAGAAAAGCGTGAGGTGATGATGGATTTAACTTTATAGCTGTGAATGGTGATGTATTCATCAATGTGATCCTGTTTGACAAAACAAGGGTTTTAGCAAAAACATGTTATTCTGAAACTCAGGACCTTACCTGTAATTTTCTAAAATTAAAATAAATGCTTGCTCTCCATATTTCTCCAGACTTGATGCTCAAGATTAGAATTGGCAGAGAAGACACTTTCAGTTTCCTGGCCAATTCTGATCATTTTACCTCCAGAGGAGCGTTGTCTACTCTCTTGAGAAATGTTAACTCTTCCTAGGATCCATATATACTTTCTGAATGAGATTAACAACTCGCCCCAAAATGTGGGCATTTAGTATTGTGGAATTGAACCTCAGGCTAAAGTTGTCCAAACTCATTTGGCAAAGGCTTGTTTCTATTGGCAAAAGCAAGAAATTTTCAACTCCACAGTTTGGCCTACATATGGACTTTGTTCTCAGAGGTCAATTAATAGGCATTTTAAATATTGATGGATTTTCCTGGTAGTTTGCATTAGCAAAGTTAATTTCCAGCCGGTTACAAAATGAGACTAAATTATTTTAACAATGCCTTGCTTAAATTCCATGCCCCACTTCCCAACATTCCAGGTGGAAGGCTGGCAGGAAGCATTGCTGGATGTTGTGCTTGATGGTTAAGCAGAAGAATTGGCTGCAGGGCCACTCCATCTCTCCACTGATTGAAGGCAGAAGTGAGGAGACGACAGAAGATGAGACTGCAACTTTCCCAGAGGCTCTTGGCAGAGCTGTCCTGCTCTTCTTGGACCCTGCAGAGAGCTTAAACATTTTTAAAAGACCCTTTTAGGACCTCATCTGGCTCAAATATTCAACCAATAGGATGACCGAATAAAATTTGGAGTCAGTTCCCAGTGACGTAATTGAGACCAGTTGGTTTTGATTTCAGTGAGGTATATATGAAAGTGTCAGTTCCAATCTACTTTCTGGTGAGTAAGTAAAGTGGGAGATTTTAACTGCTAACATATTCCTTGACAAAGTCATCTTGTACTCGAAAAGTTAACCCTGTTTCTCTCTCCACAGATGCTGCCAGATGTGGTCCAACACTTCCTGTTTTTATTTTCTGTTTATATGCTGGATTTCTGCCAGATCTAGTCATCCATTCATCCTTTCATTTACTTATCTGTCTATCTTCTGATCTCCCAAAAAGGCATAGGCTTTTGGATGAGGCTGGAAATAATCAATTATTATTATTGAAGAGAAAACTATCTCAAGGAGCTATTTCAATTTATTCAATGGCCTGACCAACTTTTCAATAAAGGACCATTGTCAGTGATAGATGACAGTCAAGTAAATTTGTGAAATTTGTATATATCAATTATTTACTAAAGTGAAGTGCCTGTAAGAAGAAAGACGTCAATAACTGACTGGTCATGCAAACATCATGATCAGTAGATGAGTAATGATTAAGCTGGTCAGGAACTTCAAACACTACAGAATAACAAGATAGAGTGAGCCCACCTCATCCTCCTCCTGGCTCCTGTCATCACTTCTCTGTAAAATAAAACAGTAAAACATGTTTAGAAAATGTTACTTATTTATCCCCTTATAAAATGGTACAACATCAAAATGGCAGCACACCACTACCTTCTTGAGGGCACCTAGGGGTGGGCAATAAAATGCTGGCCAGTCAGCAATGCCCATGTCCCACAAGTCTTAATTAAAAAAAAATCACAGGTGTTAACCATTCAAAAAAAGGTTCATCATTAATTGACACTGAGGGAGGTTTTACATTGTTTCTCTAATATTGTTAATTCGGTTCTATGGATTAAAATGTGATGATCATGGAACTTTTGGCTCTTGGTCCCAAGTTGAAATGTGCGTTCAGGCTTGGCTAGAGGGTGGTCCTTATCAGTTTTTGCCATGCTGAATTGGCAGACATTCCTTTTCTGAAGCACTCAAGCGTTTCTCATGTTTCATTTATTAGTGCTTGACTGGGCCGTAACAGGTGGCTTGGCATATATCACTTCCCAGACTGCTTACCAAGAAGGAGGGAACAGCAAAGTGCTGACGATGTGAAGCAAAATCAGTAATTACTGGAGAAACTCAGCAGGTCTAGCAACATCTGTAGAGAAAAGAAGAGTTAACGCCGAGAGTCCAGTGGCCCTTCTTCAGAACAGACAGTGACTGGGCTCGAGGCGTTGATGCTACTTTTTCTCCACAGATGTTCCTGGCCAGCTGAGTTTCTGCAGCAATTTTTGTTTTTGTTTCAGGTCCTCAGCATTTGCAGTTCTTTGTTTTATTTTGTGAGTGTCGCTGACAATGCCAGCATATGTTGCTCATCCCTGATCAAACCTGGACTGAAAGGTGTGATTAGACAATTAAGAGTTAACCACATTGCTGTGTGGTATGGAGTCACATGTAGGTCAGACCAGGTAAGGATGTTAGACCTTCTTTCTTAAAGGGTACTAGTGAAACAGATGGGTTTTTACAACCGTTCAATGGTCATCATCATTTGGATTAGCTTTATGGTTCAGATTTATTTTTAATTAGTAGGTTTAAATTTTGCCTTAATGGGATTTGAACACATGATCCTAAAGCATTATTCTGGGCCTCTGGATTTATGGTTCATTCATATTAGCACCACATCACCATCTCCCACTAGATGGCATCGACCTCGGCACTGGAAAAGAAACAGCAGAAACTGCCCTGTTAACCGTGCAAAGTCCTCCCCACTGACACCTGGCAGCTAGGGCCAAAATTGGGAGAGCTTTAACACAAACTAGTCAGTCATACTCCAGAATCATACCTTATAGACAATGTCCCAGATACCATCATCATCATTCGCTGGATATGTCTTGTCCCATGGGCAGGACAGATCTGGCAGAGGTGGTGGCACAGTGGTGTACAGTCAGGAGGGAATTGCCATGGGACTCTTCAACATTGACTCCAGACCCCATAAAGTCTCATGACTTCAGGTTAAACATGAGCAAGGAAACCTCCTACTGATTACCATGTACCGTCCTCCCTCAGCTAACTCCTCCATGTTGAAAACACTTGGAGGAAGCACTGAGGATGGCAAGCTCACAAAATGTGCTCTGGGTGGGGGATTTCAATATCCACCACTCAGACTGGCTCAGCAGCAGTATTACTGATTGAGCTGGTCGGGTTCTAAAGGACGTGATTGCTAAACTGTGTCTGTGGCAGGTGGTGAGGGAACCAACAAGAGGAAAAAACATACTTGACCTGATTCTTACCCCAATCTGCCAGCTGCAGATGCATCTGTCCATGACAGTAACAGTAAGAGTGACCATTGCACAGTCCTTGTGGAGACAAAGTCCCACCCTCCCATTGAGAATATCCTCTTTTGTGTTGTATGGCACTATCACTGTGGTAAATGGGACAGACTTTGAACAGATCTAGCTACTCAAGAATGAGAATCCATGAGAGGCTGTGGGCCATCAACAGCAGCAGAATTGTACTCCAGCACAATCTGTAACCTCATGGCCCGGCATATCCCCCACTCAACCATTACCATTAAGCCAGGAGATCAAGCCTGGTTCAATGGAGAGTGCAGAAGGGAGCAACACCAGGCATATCTGAAGGTGAGATGTCAACCCGGTGAAGCTACCAAACAGGACTACTTGCACGCTGAACAGCATAAGCAGCAAGTGATAGACAAAGCTAAGCGATCCCACAACCAATGGATTAGATCTAAGCTTTGTAGTCGTGCTACATCCAGTCATGAATGGTGGTGGACATTTAAACAACTCACTGGAGGAGGAGGCTCCACAAATATCTCCATCCTCAATGATGGAAAAGCCTAGCACATCAGCGCAAAAGATAAGGCTGAAGTTTCGCAGCAACCTTCAGCCAGAAGTGCTGAGTGGATGATCCATCTCGGCCTCCTCCAGTGGTGCCCAGCATTACAGATACCAGTCTTCAGCCAATTCGATTCACTCCACGTGATATCAAGAAGTGGTTGGAGACACTGCATACTGCAACAGCTATGGGCCCTGACAACATTCTGGCAATAGTACTGAAGACTTGTGATCCAGAAATTGCTGCTCCCCTACCCAAGCTGTTCCAGTACAGTTACAACACTGGCATCTACCTGACAATGTGGAAAATTACCTAAGTATGTCCTGTACATAAAAAGCGGACAACTCCAACCCAGAGATAGGAGGAACTGCAAATGCCTTGTTATCTCCAACTCCAACCCAGCCAGTTACAACCCCATCAGTCTACTCTTGATCATTAGTAAATTGACGGAAGGTGACATCAACAGTGCTATCAAGCAGCACGTGCTCAGCAATGACCTGCTCAGTGATGCCCAGTTTGGGTTCCACCAGGGCCACTCAGCTCCTGTCCTCATTACAGCCTTGGTTCAAACATGGACAAAAGAGCTGAATTCCAGAGGTGAAGTGAGAGTGATAGCCCTTGACATCAAGGCTGCATTCAACCAAGTGTGGATTCAAGGAGCGCTAGCAAAACTAGAATCAATGGGAATCGGGGGGGTGGGGTTGGGGGCAAACATTCTGGTTGTTGGAGTCATACCCTGGCACATGGGAAGATGATCGTGTTTGTTGGAGGTCAGATATCTCAGCTCCAGGATGTTTCTGCAGGAGTTCCTCAGGGTAGTGTCCTATGCTCAACCATCTTCAGCTGCTTCACCAATGACCTTCGCCCCATTGTCAGGTCAGATGTGGGCATGTTTGCCGACGATTGCACAATGTTCAACACCATTCATGACCCCTCGGAAACTGAAGCAATCCATGTTCAAATGCAATGAGGTGTAGGCAATAGCCAGGCTTGGGCTGAGAAGTGGCAAGTAACATCATGCAGCACAAATGCTAGGCTATAATTATCACCAATAAGCGACAAACTGATCACTGCCTTTTGACATTCAAAGGTGTTGCCATCGCTGAATACCCAACTATCAACATCCTGGGAGGTTATCATTGACCAGAAACTCAACTAGACTCACCACCTAAACACAGTGGCTACAAGAGCAGGTCAGAGGCTAGGAAAACTATGGCGAGTATCTCACATTCTGACTCCCAAAGCCTGTCCACCATCTACGAAGGAGCGTGATGGATTACTCCCCACTTGCTTGGATGGGTGCAGCTTCAACAACACTCAAGAAGCTTGACACTATCCAGGACAAAGCAGCCCGCTTGATTGGCACTGCATTCACCAGCATCTATTCTCTCCACCATCGATGCACAGTAATAGAAGTATGTACTATCTACAAGATGCATGGAAGAAATTCAACAAAGATCCTCAGACAGCACCTTCCAAACCCACGACCACTTCCATCTAGAAAGACAAGGGCAGCAGGTACATGGGAACACCACCACCATCAAGTTCCCCTCCAAGCCACTCACCATCCTGACTTGGAAATATGTCGCCGTTCCTTCACTGTCACCCAGTCAAAATCTTGGAATTCACTCCCTAATGGCATTGTGGGGCAATCCACAGAACGTGGACTGCAGTGGTACAAGAAGGCAGCTCACCACCACCTTTTCAAGGGCAACAAGGGGTGGACAATTAATGCTGGCCAGCTGGTGATGCCCACATCCCACCAATGAATTAAAAAAACCTATAGTAGGGCTTGGCTTATTTATTTGGAGCGATGGTGACTTAAGCTGTTTTGGACAGCACATTATTCTATTGAAAATTCTGCCAACTTAATTCACTCAAACTCTTTAACAGACAAAAGAGGAAACTTTAATTTCATGTCTTCCAATTCTGATTCAATTCCTTATCTCTGTCATACACAGTGTTCTAGCTCATCTCTGTTAAAAGTAAGTGTTAATATTTGCTTTTGACCTACTTTTCTGCTTTCTGTATCTCTCCATCAGCCCTTGCATGTGTTTGATAGGTCATATACTCACAGCTAATAGTTTGACACATCACAAAGTGCCAAAGTATTGAATGCACGCACAAAAGAAAAAAATAACAATGCATCACAAAACATTTCCTCTTTCTTTTTTTGGAATGCCACAAAGCTCAGCATTCACATACTGTCTTATTTCAAACAGAATTAACTGGTGACAATTTGTATATATTATCTGCAAATCAAAACTGACATTTTCTCTGCAACGAGAAATACATTTTCTTCACACAGTTCCTATCAGTCAAAGCAAAATTGTGAGCCTTTAGATCCTTTTAAGATGCTGTTTCTGTTTAACATTACTTAATTCATTTTCCTGATACTTACTTTAGCAAAGTTAACAATGATAGACATATGAGAACTTTCTGTGTTCCTAAAGTGAAAGACAGTTATTGTTAAATAATAAAGTACCCTTTCATATTTGAGACCCATCACCCTCATCAAATACTCACTCTCAAGTAATAGGTAAATCAGAACTAACATTGTGCCTGATTTTATAATTCCATTTCTTATCTATGCCACGTTGATGAGAACATTGGTTCATTTTTAACAATTTACCTTCTGACAAGATTAGTCATTTTGGACCTAGTAGTAGTAATAGAGCTAATTAACATTTGCTGGTAAGTAAATTTACTAGGACTGAGTCAAGACAATACAAATTATTAACATCTCAACTTTCACATAGTGGGATTGTGACACTCGTAAACATTTTAAAGGTGAAAGAACAGCTTAAAATTCAGATTGCCACCCCTTCCTCTAATAAATAAATTACAAAACAATCTTCTTAATGGTAAGAAAGTGTTTCAGTCATGATCTGTCAAGCAGACAGTAGCAGGGTCAGTAATACAAGGGCCAATGATTATCGTAATCAGATTAATGAGAAAGGAGTTCTATCGCACCTTGACAACTGCAGAATTCAAATACAATTAATTAAATAAATCTGGAATTAAAAAAAAACTGATGTCAGCAATGGTGCCCATGAAACTATCTCATCAGCCTTAGCTCAGCTGCAGCATTCACTGAAGATCAGGGGAGTTCGTCTTTGCATGTTGGCCACTATTTATCCTTTAACCAACATCACCAAAAATGATCCAGTCAGTAATCCATTATTGTTGGCAGGAGCGTGCTGTGGTTTCCTACATTACAGCAGTGACTACACTTTGGTAGTACCTCAACGGCTGGAAAGGGCTTTGGGATATCCCTATGTTGCAAAGGCTGCTATAACAATGCAAGTTCTTCCTTTCTCAAGAGTCAGCACTTTGAGGAGACCAAGAGGAGAAGGATCAGGAGTATTGAAAAGATACACAAACACCCATTAAGCACAAACTAATAATCTGCCTTGGAAAGAAATGCTATTTTACTTTTTTATATTCTTAGCGAATGCCTGAGTGAAATGATTTCCTTGCTTCTGTTGCATAACAGAATTGTAATTATATTCTTTTTGAAAGCTTTATAAAGTTTCCTAAGCAACCATGCACAGTGATGAGACCGTTCTTATCCCCAGAGAGTTCATGAACATATTTGAGCTGAATAAAATGTTTTTTCAACACCCTTAGTGATTAGCACACACATCAATTCAGCTAGACAATTGTCATTCAATATACTGCTGAAGTATATTGCTGTCAGAATCAATGGACTGAACCTTACCTTATGGCGTCTTTCATATCTGTTTATATTTACAGGAGGACCATCTACAGTCTCATCAGATCCAGCTGTTCCTATGGGCTGATATAGAGAGGAGCTTGTTAGCTTGTTGTTGAGGTCAAGCAACAACATAGAATTTTTTACAAATTAAGGACAGGTTTTAGTAACACATATCTTTTTTTATTAAACAGCCCCAATGCAAGGACATGTTTAAAAATAACTGACAAAATACAAATACTGGAGCCATGCTCAAACCAAGAACCCCCACTTGTGAAAAATGTCACGCTATCCAATAACATATTTATTTCATTATTTTATTGCTTTGTTCCAATCTTACAAACTGTAGGGAATAGTAGCTTACTGATTATATTACTGAACTAGTGATCCAGAAACCAGAACTAATGATGTGGTAACATCTGTTCAAATCCAAGCTGGGGAATATAATTTTAATTAATAAATAAAATGTGAACTGAACAGCTACGCTCAGTAGTGGTGACCATGAAATTACTGACTCATCATAAAAATCCACTTTCAGGGAATAAACTCTGCACTTCTTGCCTAGTCTGGCCTATCTGTGTCTCCAGACCCACAGCAATGTCGTTGACTCAAAAATGGTTTAGTAAGCTAGTCAGTTGAATTCAAAAAGACTCATGATCTTTAGCAGGTCAATCAGGGCAGTAAATGTTAGTCTTGCTATCTGCACTCACATCTTATGAATGAATAAAAAAGATCACATTTTAAAGAATGACCCTAATCATTAAAAAGAAGATAAAATGCTGGAGAAACCCAGCAAGGCTGTCAGCATCTGTGGAGAAAGAGAGAAACAGAGTCAATGTTTCAAGTCTGATGATTCTTCTACATCACTTCTTCAGACCATGATCGTTGTTCTGTAAAATTAGTTCAGTTTGTCAGATCACAGCAAGACTTTGGAACCTTTATGACAGATGTTTAGTTTGCAATATTTAATCAATAATGTTGATTATTAAATTTTTAAAATGTAGCACAAAAGACAAACTAAAGTGCAAAAACTGCAACAGGCACTTACAGCCACATCAGAAAAGTCGCCCGCTATTATTTCAAGACTTTGTATTTCGGGCACGAGAAAGAGCCAGGCACAGAGGATGAGGAGTTTCATACTGTCTGATGTTTCCACAATGATGCTGCCCCAACACCAATAAGACAGCTGGGGCTCACTTACAAATTCAGGTGAAACGGCAGGCAAAGTTGCATTTGAAGTTCCCTTCTGGAGTCCACGAAAACTTTGCCCTGGGCTATGGTCAATAATTACTGAGTATGTTACCAAACCTGCAAATAGCTGTAAAGGTTGTGCAAACAAGGCAATGTTCTCTGTACTTTTGGATGATAACAGTTTGAAACCTGATTGATTTCTTTTCTCCTTTGCTTCGAAGGCTCTTCATTATGATACTTAGTAAGAAACAGGGAGATTCAAACAATAACTTTACCTCAATCAGGGAGGAAGACCTACTGCACTAATGTTAAGAATAATGTTGCTTGTCAAGTAATTAATAAAGAATGCAGCGAGGTACAGCACAAGCAACTCGTTGTTGTTTATAGATGTTCAGTTGGTTTGAGGGCCATTTGCATCTTGGTTTATCGCCAATTATACATGTGCTCAATGGCAAGGTTCGTTATATTTATAAATTTACGTGCTTCTGTAATCTGCAGAATTAGCTGTCCAGTGTAAATGCAGACTCCTTGATGCACAGATTTGGAAGAAAAGTGTTAGATGACAACAGTTCATTTAGTTCCGCTGCATTTCACTTATTAGGAAAGATGTTATGATTTTCAGTCATTCTACTGATGACTTACTGGGTACCTCCTTGTGGGAGAATTTGATTGGTAGCAAGTTCTTTTAGAGATAAACTGTTGCATTTTGTCTTCAACAATATCTATTTGCAATTTCTTTCTAGACTTGAATCGATATTAAATTTATTTGGGGAGTAAATTATCCTCAAATTGGCTTATTGCCAATTATCAACAAGCATTGGCAGCTGCCAAAAGCAGGTTGTGGTCTAATTTCCTCGATTTCCAAACGCATGTTAAAAACTCACTTTGATAGTGCTTCGCAGCACCGTCACTTCTACCACCAAAAAGTACTACAGCAGCAATTTGGTGGTGAAACCATTACTACAAGTCACACACATATATTAATCTGACCATTTCTTAGCAACGCCAATGCCTTGTATGTAATACCACTGAGGAACACCACCTTCCTAAGGAGTATAGCAACTTATTCTGTTGTATTTGGTAGGTGCAATGCCACCTAGTACCAGCTTGTGGTTTGGGATACTTTGCTGTTACTGTCCTCTTTCCTTGACTGGTTCTAAGAATCTACTTGGTTTACAATAGTAGAGGAAAGCCACTTGTGGGTCTTGATGAGAAGAGACAGTTGTATTTAAACAACATGGAGTTCATTGCATGCTAGCAATCAAGCACAAGTTACATTGACAAGTTAGACATTGTTACAAGGACAATTGCGAGATCTGTGGAACCACATGTCCTCAGGTGTTCCACTTTTCCCACCCAAAACCACATACAATGCATCCGCTTCACTGGGGTAACACTTTAGAATAGTCTGTGTGGAGTTTGCACGTTCTCCCTGTGTCTCTG